TTTTTTTTGTTGAAATTAACATAGGGAAGTGATAGAGTAATAGGCCATTTATTAATTGGCACAAACAGATACCAGCAAAAAAATTTTTACAAAAATTTTTTTTTATATATATATACATATTTTTTTTTCACTTTTTTCTTGTTTCTTCTTTTGTTCAACCTCTTTTTTTTTTCAGCTTTCTTTTCCTCTTTTTCTTTCCACTGCTCTTCAATGTTTATCTTCTTCAATATCCTCAGCTGCAACTTTCATTTCTTGTCCGCCTCATTAACTGTCCTCTTGTTCAAATAGAACATCACAGAAATGAAAACTAAGCAAAAAAATTTTTTTTTTCTTTTGTAACACTTCTGCAAAACTGGGTAATTCAGTTGCAAAATAGAGCATTTACCAATTGATTCTTTTCAGACAAAGTTAGGTGAACAAAAAAAGAAAAGAACCAACGAAAAAAAGAGGCAAAAAAAAAACTGAATGATAAAGGTGGAAAAAACTGCTGCAGTTTGAAACCAGTTTACTGTGTATATTTTTTAAAACTTTGGTTTTTGTACACACATCAGATGTATCCAAATTAAAAAAAGAAAACTTATTGGATACGTTTTGAGAAGCATAAAAAGAAAAGTTGAAGGGCGAAAATGGAAAACAGAAAAAAACCATCTGATGCGGCTGGAAAACTGGAAGGGAACAGCCGACGACTGATCCCGTCTGTGATCAAATACGCAATTTAAAGCAGTTTATTAGCACCGATACACCATCACTGAACTAAGTGTACTAACCAAAAAAAAAAAAGTTTCAATTTGTTCTTAGATTAGTCTTTTTTTGTTTTACATTTTTAACATTTTTAGCTCAAAGAACGTAACCTATATTTAAGAAACAATTAGAAACATAAAAAAAAAAATCACTTCGTTCTTCATTCTCTTTGTAATTGCAACCGCAAAATAAGTTTTATTAACAGTTTATCTTTAGTCACTTCTCAAATCTCAACTTTTTGCAATCAAATGTCTTTTTTTCTCGAAGTCTAGTTTCAACAATAATTCTTTATCTTCAGAATGCTTTTTATTTCATGATGTTTTATAGTCAGTTCAGGTATAAATGTCTTTTAGGATAAGACTTTTAACTAACACATCTGGTAGTGGAAAAAGTAAAAAAAATGAGACTAAAGATCCAGAACCTTAAAGTAAGTTTATGAAAATAAGATATTTTAAATGTTGATAGAAAAAAA